ATTTGTACTGGGACACAGTCACGCCCCTGTATTATTGGTGGCCGCTTTCAAACAACAAAGGCAGAGTTGAGTAGCTGTGTCAGAATCCCTACGGTCTGCAAAGCCTAAAATACTCACTATCTGGCCCTTTACAGAAAAGGCTTACCAACCCTGAATTAATTAATCACCAATACTGATTCCAGCTTCTGTTTCTATAAAGTACAACCCAACATGCCAAAGCTGACTCGGTGTGTTTCTTGCCTTCTTTATCCATATGCACCGCCTTACTCTTAGGAGGATTTTAATTTGCTCACAAAACTGTATGGCGCACATAGTCACATACATGTAAAGTTCAACAGAAAAGAGGAAATGAGGAACAAGGGACAATGACACAGACGTAGAGATGAGCTGGGCCACGTGAATATGCAGAACGTCAACCCTGAAACTCTATTTTAAATGGGCCCTAACTTGGCTCCAAACAGCCACGACAAAGAGAGAGCCATGATCCCTCTCCCAGTTCACTAGAGGTTCGTGAGGAGGACCACAGCTAACCCTGGCACAAAGACTCCTTATCCCGGGTGTGTGCACAGAGCGGACAAAGCGGCATGCACTGAGCAAGTCCCCAGCGGTGCCAGGCAGCCGGGGGTGTCCCGATCGCACCACGGCTACATGCACAGGCCCTCAGTGCGGGCCGCCTCCCAACCCGAAGTGGAATTTATCAGCAGTTCTTCCAGTACATTCCAAATTTTTGAAATAAGCATGTGCCACTTTTATAATCAGAAAATAATTTTAAGAAAATAAATATTTTTAATTAAAGAAAAGACAAAGGAAGCAGTAACCCCGACAAGCTGTTGTTCACTTGGATGTGGACACTCAGCCAAGTGCCCCAAGAGAGGGCTCTGCTCGGTCTTGCTGTTTCTGTGAGGCTGAGGGAGAGACAAGGCAAAGACAGGCTATTCGGAGAACTGGTCAAGGAATTTTTATCACTTTGATGATGAAGCACCAGGTGTTCAGTCTAAAAAGCACCGGTGACTGGAGACAGTCCTTGGTCACTTTGTCATTGAGCTCTACAACTTTATACCTAGTTTATCATAAATAATTCACACCCTGATCTCGCTCCCTGCTTTATGCCCAGTGCCTAGAACAGTGTCTGGTGAGAAATAAGTACTTTCTGAATGCACAATGGGTTCCCCTGAGAGGTCTGGACAAAAGGGGAGAGTCTACAGATACGCTGCGGTTGTCCTGGCGAGTCCTTACCGACAATGCCCCAGCCTTGAGAGTCTCTCACCTATGACAACGAGACAGGTGAAAAAGGGGCCCAGATGTGCAGGCTAAGCCTCTGAGCCATGCAATAAGAAACACAATTAAAAATTGAAAAGGGAAACTGAACAGCAGGGTGTCTAGTTTTGCTGTAGTCCCACTGTTGGAAGGATAAACACTTTGAACAGCTTAGGACAAACACAGCTTTGCGTTCTGAACAGGCAGAGCTGCTTTCTCTGGCTCACTGAGAAGTCAGTGTGAGATCTGCTCCTTGCTCAGAGGAAGGACATGCCTGCTCCTGGAGGAGAGGCCTCTTCTGGGCTCTGAGATGCCTGCTCTCTGAAGAGTGGGACGTGCTCCTCTCTCAGTGCACCAGCACAGCTTGGACAGGACTTTCTCCAAGGAGACCTTCGGAGAGCAGCTGGCTTCCTGGGCAAGAAGGCCTGGGCAGACTGTGCTTTTCCATGAAAATGTTAAGAAAATCCCGCCAAGTAGCCTTAGGACCTAACTGGCTCAGAGACAGGAAAGTCAAAATGTCACAGCCAAAGAGACAGTTGGCAGTGGCTTAGAGAAGAAGAGGCATTATCCTCGACTCAGAAGTAATGACACAGAAGGAGCACTGCACAGGGAGTCCAGAGGCCTGCAGGGACTGGCCTGGAGGCTGCATATTCTTAGGGAAGCTATTGCCTTTCTATGCCTTGGTATCTCAACTATAAAATGGAAATAAATTCACTGATAAGACTGGCTTGCTTGTTTCCTTGTAATGAACCCCTACAACACCACAGCAAAATGGAAGATACAAAAAACATGACATGGTCCTTACCCTTCAATCTGATCATAGCATACAGGGTCTAGCACAGTGCCTGGCTCACAAGAGGCTCTCATGTTATTGCCAGCAGTAATATCAAGGTGGATGCTGGGTGCGCTTGACTTGTGATTCCACTTCTACAATGTCACCCATATCCACCTACCTGCCTGCATAGGTTGGTGTCAGTTCAGGCCTTGCCTCACCAGGTTCCCTGCAGTAATCCCCGAGTCCTGTCAGTGCCAGGAGCTCCCTAGACTCACTGATCCTAGCACCCCTGAGCTCCCACCTCACCAATTTGGTCCCCGTTAGTCCACCAGTTCTCTCTGCACAACCACCAATCAAGATACCCTTCCCTCAGAATCTTCTTTCCTACAAAATTCCTTCCAAATTCCTTTGGTTGGCATTTGAAGAGCAGAGAAGCTGTCCTGAGCCCACCTTCCCAGGCTTCCTCCCCTCAGGGGCTTCTGTGTTCGCAGCCCAGGTCTCCTTCCATCCGTGCAGTGCCCCTTCTCTGCTCCCGCGGCTCCTCTTCTCTGCTTTGATGTTCAAGATCCTAAGTCACATTTCAAAGCTCAACTCAAATGCTCTTTTTTATTAGGTATTCTTTTCAGCTTCCGGCCCATGAAGCGGTCCCTTTCTTGTTTTCAAGCTCAGGGACATTTTTATTTTTTATATCGCAAGCGTGTGCTCAGTCCATCTTGAAGTAGAAGTTTCAGCTCAAAGGCTTCCCTAAAGATGACAGCTTTCTTGATGCCCTCAAACTCCCCATAGTCAGCTCCCCCACCCCAACACACTCCCACAATACTGTACACTCAAAACATTTCTCTTCTGGACATTCCTTCAGTAACTTCCATCTGTGGTGCAAGGGAAGCAGGGTCACTCCTTGTTTCCCAAGGGGGTGAAGGGAAGCCCCGGCCCAGAGCTGGTGCTCTGTAATGCTTGGCTGATGCTGATAAAGACAATCAGAATGGTCAACTGTGGCCACATGGAACCTATGGGTGTGGTACATTTGTGTAACCAACCTGTCTGATGCTCTGCATCCACCATCAGCACCGTACACAGAGAAGGCGCTGCCTCCACTGAGTCCCAGGTGACTGCCAGGACCCAAAATTCAACGTGTTTCAGTTTCACACGTAGAATCATTTACAAGCACCAGAGAGCAATAGAGGCTCTACTGGAAACTTCACATGGGGGGCAAGGATGGTGGCTACACAGCTCAGCCCAGAGCAATGCCACCTTCAGTACCTCACTAGACACCCAGTGCTGCCAGTGTTTCCTGGGTCCCAGCAACCTGGGTCGCCCTCTGTGTCTTCTTCCATGCCGCAACTGGCCTCATCGGGTTCTCTCTCCTCTCCCTCCAAAATACCAACTTTAAATCTCTACCCTTTCTATTTTTTTTAATATGTTTTTATTAATTTTTAGAGAGAGAGGAAAGGGAAAGAATAGAGAGAAACTCAATGAGAGAGAAACATCATCGATCGGCTGCCTCCTGCACGCCTCTTACTGAGGATCGAGCCCACAACCCGGGCATGTGCCCTGACCGGGAATGGAACCTGCAACCTCTTGGTTCACAGGTTGATGCTCAACCACTGAGCAACACAAGCTGGGCTCTCCCCTTTCTATTTTGCTACCAATTGACATCAGCCATGACTTCATATCTAGACTCTCAGAAGGCTGTGCTCATGCTGGGTCCCTCAGATACCAGAGCCCTATCCTTGTTCAAGACTGTTTAGCTACCACCTTTGAGACTCAGGCATGGCATCCGTGTCGTATTCCTTCCCTCAAGCCATTTCTACGGTACTTTTTCCAAACATGAAGTAGAGTTCTCCCCAAGAAGGATTCGATGGGTGAAATTTTCACCACCTCCCTACATCTGCAGTCACCTCCTCTCTGAGTTTTTGCCATGAAATGTCCAGGGTGATAACATCTATTTTCCAGCATCCCTGCCTGATCTTTGATCCACCCAGCTGTCAGGACATCCCCATTCATCCTGTCTATAAGCCAGATGGCTTTTGACCAAGCCCCATCTTCTGGCCCAGGAAGGACAGCCCATGCAAAACAGCTTCTAGAATTATAATAAATTATTTAGAATGCAAGTCCTTCTCAGGGAAACTCCTGACCCAAAGCAGACCCAAGAAAGCCAGTGGGCAGGGTTACCCCAGGGAAGGGCCCACATATGTCAGGAGCATGGCCTGGCCAGTGACCAATTTGTGTTTGTTTGTCTGAGACATTTCCTGTCTTTGTACTGAAAAACCCATGTCCAAGGTACCCCTCATTCCCAGGCAAACTGGGATGGTTGGTCACTATAGCCTTGTCCCATCTATGATCCTTGCCAAGAACCAGAGGTCATGAGGTCAGAGTGAAGCCAAGATCCTTATAAGCAGATCAGAGAGAAAGCAGGAAATGCACTGAGAAGGGGCAGGATGAGCCCTGGCTGCAGATGGGGCAGGAAACAGTCTCATCAGGAATAAGATCACAGTAGTAGCGACCCAAGCACAGGGCCAGACAGCCTCGGGTGGGCTGCTAATTAATTTCACCCAGTATGAGTGAGGATCTCCACCATGGGCACGATCCAGACCACACAGGGCAGGAGGGTAGGAAACTCCCCAAAAGGGGCTCTCTGCTTAGCAGACAGAGGACAACAGAAACGTGCCCAGAAGGCCAGCAAGCACACGCGTGCGCGCGCACACACACACACACACTCAGAACTCCCCGATCCCTCCCCAACAGGCCCTCTGTGCCCCAGACAAAGGCCCACTCTGCAAATCAGTGGCTCAGATGTGCATGAACCTAGCCTCTCCTCCATAACCAAACATAAGCACTCCCTGTTCACCCCCATTCCCAACACCCAGTGGCCTGGAGAAGACCCCACGAAACATCACCCCCCTATAAACAAAGCGACCTTGGACCAGACAGCAGGCCTCCTCGTGAGAGGAGGGAGCTGAGGACTCACCAGGACTCTGCCGGTCAGCGTCTGGGCAGATATCATCACCCCCGCCCAGTCCTTGACAGAGGTCATCCAGCCGACCTCGGCTGCCACCACCTCCTCCTTCTCGTCCACTGGCTTGAGAGTGCCATCGGCCTGGCCGGAGCCATTGTTAATCTTCTGGGCCTCCTGACAACAGAAAGAACAAGGGTTGAGACATAGGGACCAACTGCATTTTCAAAACACAACCTACCCCCCAAAGTCAAAGGGTCCTCGGCTAAGGTAAGAACCAGCTTGAAGGTACAGGAGTAGGGACAAAGGAATGGGTTATGGTTTTAATGAATTTTTTTAATGTTTCTGAAAAAGAATCTTTTCTTTATTTCTTCTTACAATATCTTTATGAAAGAGAGAATGAAATTATTCTCTTCCTGTTTTAAAGGGGGTGGAAATCACACAGCTCAGGAGGAAAAGCGTCTTGACTGGGGTCTTCACCCACCCAACCTTCATGACCTTCTCACAAGAGTGCCCGGAGTTTTCCTTATGGAAACCCCATCTCCTCATCTCCATCTGTGCGGCTCAACAGGGACTGACAGACCCCCGCTGGCTCCAGGAAAGGGGACTGGTCAATCATATCATCCCATCCCCCTAGCAACAGGGACTGGGCCACGATGGTCACGTGACCCATGCCAACCCAAGACAACTCAAGCCCAGGACTTTTGCTGGGGAAAAAAGTAAGAAAGGGAATCCTTCACTGATAATGAAGGCAGCACGGAGAAATGTAGAAGTGATAAAATACGGATGTCATCATTTGAGCACCTGAATCCAGCTGTGCCTGAAATCCACCCCAGACCTTTTCAGTTACAGGAAACAATAAATTTCCCTTCATGTCCTAAAGTGTGCTTAAGGAAACAAGGCGGGACACCATCAGATGACTGAGCCCCACACTGGTCTCTGAACTCTTTTGCACACAATGTGCCCTCTCTTCCCACAAATACTCTTTGTCCACAAAGGGTCATAGCTTCCTCCCTCATCTCCCTCAAGTCATTGCTTAAATATCACCTTTTCAATGGAATCTTCTCTGGCTACCCTTTTAAAATTGCAACCCTGCCTTCTGACACCACAGCCTTTCTGCTTTATTTTTCTCTATAGCATTTACAACCTCTAATACACTCTGTAATTCACTTACTTATTTCATTTACTGTCTGCCTCCCCCCACTGCTGTATCCTGAGTGTCTAAATGAGTGCCTGGCACACAGCTGGCTCGATAAACATGAATGAATGAATGAATGAATGAATGAATGAATGAATGAATGAATGAATGAAGAAAGAAAGAAAGAAAGAAAGAAAGAAAGAAAGAAAGAAAGAAAGAAAGAAAGAAAGAAAGAAAGAAAGGGAAAAGCATTATAAGTATCAGCCCCTCACTGACTATGGAACCTGGACGTAAGGTTGCCAAATAAAATACAAGACACCCAGAGAAATTTAAACTTCATATAAACAACAAATAAATGTTTAGCATAAATATGCCCCCAAATATTGCATGGACATACTTATATTAAAAACATATCCATTATTTATCTAAAATTTAAATTTAACTGAGCTGAGCCCCTTAATTACTCAGATACCCACTAAGATTTTTTTTGCAGATATAGGTGTTTTAAAGGATGCCAGAAAAATTATTTTCATCATTTAAAACACTAGAATTAATTTCCAAAGCAAACTACCCCTGGGGAATCATTGTGCATTGGAGTGAGGGGGAAAACCAAAGGCAGAGGTCAAAATCTTTGTCTGCAGTGAGGGTGGGGCAGAGTGAGGAGAGGACTGCTGGAAGGCACTGGATGAGTCATCCTCCTAGGGACCTGCAGGCTGGCAGGAAGCTGCTCCTAAAACCTGGCTCTCCCCCTCCGCCACCCCTGGCTGGGGGAGCTGAGGAGAGAGAAGTGGCACCAGCCATACAGGGTCTTCGTGTTTTATTTCCAAGTGTGCTGGGCCCCACAGAACTAGGACAGTCCAAGAGGAGGCTGGAGGCAGGGGTGGGGTGGGGGTGGGCACAGGCTGAGTATATTTGGGGCTGCCTGCTGACATCTCTGGAGCCCACTGTTCAAGCCACCTAAGGCCAGTCTGGGTGGCCTAGTAGGACCCCAAGTCTTGGCCGTGTGGAGACTCGGCACAGATGGGTGTCCTGGAAGAGGAGACCCTGATCCAGGGGCAGCCTTGGTAACTGAAGGTATAGATTCAGCTCTCTTGCCCCAGCGGGACCTGTCCTGCAAAATGGGGCAAGAGCCTAGCCCATTTTGCTCAGTGGTTAGAGCATCGGCCTGCGGACTGAAGGGCCCCAGGTTCAATTCCGGCCAAGGGCACGTACTATGGTTGCAGGCCGGATCCCTGGCCCCAGTCAGGGTGAGTGTAGGAGGCAACCAATCAATGTGTCTCACATCAATGTTTCTCTCTCTCTGCCCC